TCTGGTGAGACGCCAGGCCGGCAACAAGATTCTCCCATTGACATTTTGTCTCGTTCCATGGCCTCCACCCCTCGATCCTCCCGTGAAATCACTGAATGTTAATGCATTCGATCGAAAACCGCCCAGATCGCAGCCTCAATTCCGAAGCAGAAGGAGAACAAGGAGGACGCAGAGGAGCACTGCTGGCATCCCATTTGACGTAATCAAAACAGCAGAATGTGGGCAACCCAAAAAATGTTCTGGGTCATTGATTTCATTCTTTCGCTATCCGTGGATCTTAACGGTTCCCTCCACTATTTCGTAATGGGCCAAGATCAATGTACCAAAGTGGATTCAGATTCAGATGCTGCTGCTGCTGCGGCTGCGCAGTTGAGCGCCCGCTGGAGTGCCTTCGCCTTCCCTTTTTCGTGGAGAACACGCAACTGAGCCCCCATTGATTAAATAACCATGGACCAAATAATGAAAATACGAAGGTAACCAGGAGAAGCTTTTTTTGGGAATTTGTTACTTCGAAGAGGGGATACTCTACTCTCTGATTTGCCACAAAGATCTCGTTTATTTGGAAAATAATTATGTATTGTATTGTAAAACTATAAAATAAATACTCATTTTATCATCAGTATTATATAAAAACACAACTTATATAAATTTATTTAATTGTCTCCCATCAGAAACCAAGTCTTACTCTATTTCCAAAATCCCCCGAAACCCACCTGTAATAAAGAGTATTGCGGGAAAAAAAACCAAGTACCAACTTCTTAATTATTTTTATGATCTCTCGTGAACCGACTACCGTCTCGAGTCCGCTCCAATGGAAACCCATTTCGTCTGCCTTTTATGGCCGGTCTTTAAATGCTTCAGAATGTTTCAATTGAATCGGAATGAATTGGGTCAAAGTGTTCCAGCGGCGTTAGAAGGCAGATGGAAATGTGCCCACGTAGCTCAGGCGGAGATCATTGAGATGTTTCGTCATCCTAAATGCGTGTTTACTTAACCGGCGATGAGAGTGAGATGTATAATATATAATTATGATTTATGTGTTAAGAAAGGCCGGCAGTTAGGAGGCTTGTTAAAGGCGATAATAACATTCTTTTGAATAATGTATTTAAATCGAGAATACGGAGGGAGAAACTCTATAATTTTTAATTTAAATTGCCCGTCGAGGTGGGCAGGGAAAAGGTTTATGATCGCCATTCATCATTCCAGAGATGCCGAAAGTGAGATCTTCCTAATAGGGCCTTCGATGCTTCGATCCGATATAGAACTGTGCTGAGCAGTTCCATAAAAGCCAACTTCCTAATGACCGGCGATTGTTCGTTGCCAAGTAAAAGGTCCATCACGATCTCGTCCCGGGCATCCATAAAACTCATCTAGACGGAATCTCCAATGCGACCTCATTGTATGCAAAACTATAAACGGACTGAAATAAAGCGCACAAAGTCGTGCGCTAAATATAAAATGTAATATTGCGACTTACACATGTTTTGTAGATGATCCAAATGGCCGCAGTTTGAAGATTCCACCTCCAAGGTCTGGTTCTGCAGTCTGCAGTCTGGCGAAGAGCTCTCACTCGGCTTAGATGCGGGGCTCTAGGGATCCAGGGATCCAGGGCTCCGGCGGGTTTCGGGGTCATTTGCTGATTTTTTACGACTATTTCTATCTTAAAGATACAAGTTTATTTATGGCTCGGCTGTAAAGTGCGGCGAGTGCATAAAATGCTGCCAATGACATTGCAACACCCAGTAAGCAGGATCCGATGCGCATCCGAATCTTAAACCAAATCAGAATGGAAATGGCCCCTCCAGTGGGAGTGCTGCGATGGCGGGGTCTCCAGGGGAATGGGATTCGGACTCGGAATTGGAATCGGGTGTGGGAACCACAGGCCGGCAGTGGCTAGGCACTAAATGCGCCGCTCGTATGTGGCTAAGTTGACTCGACTTTAATGTGCCTGGCCGGGCAGTTGAGCTAAATGCAAACGCACCCAGGCCCCCCGATCCCCCAGAGCCCAGTGCCCAGAGAGCCACTGTGGGGGCCAGGGCCACCAACCATCACGGCCGAATGCTAAAAGGGTTCGTTCTTCTCACTCCTCAAGTTCACTGATGCGCCTCATTAGGAGTAGCTGGAAACCAGTTCCCGGCCAGGGGGCAGGAGGAGCAAGAGCAGCAGCTGGAGAGGGAGCAGGAGCAGGAGCCGTAGGACCCCAGACAATTGAAAATTTAAACGAATTTCTTTCAAACACAACACTGACATGGCCCGGCACAAATGACGAATAGTGGCGGATGCCCAAGCCAAAGTTTACGCATGAAATATGCACCACCAGGAGGCAGCCTCATCCGCAGCCTGAGCCCCAGTCTCGGTAGCCTCCTGGCCTCTGTTCCGTTCCCTGTTTGCCAGTTGCCAGTTGCAAGTTGTATGCTGCTAGCTGCGAGTTGCAAGTTGCCAGTTGCTAGTTGCCAGTTTGCCAGTTGCAAGTTGCGGCTCCAGGGACAGACAAGACGCATGTATGAAGTGTCATTCATCTGGCCATAAACGCATTATTCAATATGCTATGTGCACTGCAAGAAAAAATCCATACAAATATATATATATAATAAGCTAGAACTATATACACTCGCATATCTTAACTGAGGAGCTAATCATTAATCTATAAATTATAGTATTTGAATTAATATATTTCTATACCCTTGGAAGGGTATTAAAATTTTAATCAGAAGCTTAAAACTATGTGTTATATTTAAAGCTTATATATGATTTATTTCCAATCCGATTCAATAATTCAATTGCAAACTGGAAGGATATATAAACATAGACATTCCAAAGTTAGTCTTCTTTTAAAAGTAATGAGAATGGTTTCCCTTTAAAGCACCAATTATTAGTAATAGATTTTTCTCATTGCTTGGGTAAGTGATTTATTTACACTATCATCACCTGGTGCAGATATTATTCTCAGTGCATGAGGACATGAGAGGGGGACAGCAGCTAGACAAACGAGTGATCGGCAGACGGACAACAACAGCGGCAGTGGGAACAACAACCACACGGGGAACGGCAACGACGACGACGTCTGACTAAATGCCTCATACTGTGCCGGGTCTGCGGTTCAGGCTCCTTGACTATCTGTCCGCTCCTCCAACCGTCCGCTCGGTTTCAAGGTTAACAAGTTGCATTTGCAATTTGGCACTAGGACTGGCTGTGAGTCTGGAGACCCAGGCCGAGAAGAAGGATCGTATCCCCAGACAAACGGACAGGCGGACAGGCAGACGGACGCACATCGACATGGTCGCTGTGCCCCTGCGACCGCATCAATCGCTTTGGTGAGAATTAAATGTTTATGCCTTTTGTTTGCCCAGCAGCCCCAAGACCCCGTCCCCCCTCCCCCGTCCAGTTCCTCCCTCTTTAATGAGCGACCTGCTCAATACAAAAAAAAATATATATATGGGGATCCGAGGAACAGCTCCCAAATCAAAGAGCCAAGGAAAAGTACAACAAAAAGCACTCTCATCGAATCAAATGATACCCTTGGACGAACTAAACGATGCCGGCCAACATTGTGTTACCTGGAGGAGTACCTCCAAGGGCTGTATGAGGTGCAGAAAATGTATTCAAATAATAGAGCTCAAGATCTTGGCTCGGGAGATTATTCAATTGGAACAAATGAAAACTTTTAAACGTCTCCAGTGGGATGCGTAACTCGTCAATATAATTATGGGGTTAATTGGAAAATTTGAAAGCCAACGATTACTTTAACTAATAGTTGTTTTAAATTTAAAGTTAAGGTTCCTACTTTCTTTTAAATTTAAAGCAGTAGAGACCCCCTAAATCAAAATGGGTGTAATCAGAACTTGTTATAGAAAAATGTAATAAAAGTATATTTATATAGTACAATTGAGCCTTTCCTTTGAGGCTTTAACACTTACAAAATGTAGTGTTTTATGTACTTCTCAGTCTTGAATATTTTACAAAAATAACATTTGTCTGCGTCAGTGGGAATGCTTGAAGAAGCCTTCTTCATGCCGCAGGCCGAAGACCCAGAAAAATTCGATTGCTCTGGAGAGCATTGCAGTGAGGAGTCAGCAATAATACGACGCTGATCTATTATTCGCTAGATTGTAAAAATGTAAAAATCACGCTTTCGTGTTGTGTATAAATTGAATGCAATTTATAAATGTCCAGCGTAGAATTAAATCCCCAGCCGTCGGCACAGGCCACGATCGGGTGATGGTGATTTTTCAAAATAAACAACCTTGAGCCGAGGGCTCTGCGGCTCCATAGCTCCATAGCTCCATAGGTCCAGAGATCCACAGCCGAGAACAATTGCCAGAGCCCAGAGCAACAATAGACGGCAGCAGAGGCAACAGCCCAAAAGGATCCGCCGGATCGGGTCCCTTGGAGCCACAGATGAAAAATTGCGCCAATTGAATTTGACCAGCGATTGTGGTCGATTGCTCCTCATTGCAGCCAGCAAAGCTGTCTGCGGGGGGTTCCTCTCGGGGAATCGAGTGCCGTCCAGTTGGTGTGGGGAGGTGGTGGTAATCCACTGGGCGGTCGCTTAGTTTTCAACGCATTTATCAATACCCAAGTGGCTTGCCATCCTCTTCCACAGCCTCCGATCCGATCCGATCCGTTCCGAAACGAAACCTCCTGGCAGACCAAGCGTTGACAATGCCAAGGGCGGTGTCGGTTGCCTTCGCCTAATATATTCGAACTGAAATGAAAAAGACTGCCGCCGTCTCTGATTGAGGATGAAGCCACAAAATCGATTTGCCATAGCTTACATCATTCATTGAGATGCCTATAAGGTACATAGCATACATAGGTATTTCGCAGTTTGGTTAATTGAAAATGATTTTAAGCAATATACTAATCTATTTAAGTACTAAAATAAAGCAGAGAGGTACATAACTCATCTGTTCGAAGTACTAAACCATTGGCCACGTCATGAACTCTCACAACATTCCAACAATCCCATTTCCACAGATTTTAAACAAAACAAATGGATTAGCAGCAATTAGATTATGGACAATAAAAAATACGTGTCGAATATCGTCAGTCTTGGATTATTGCTGTACCAGAAAGGACCTACTATGAGTTTTTCTCATCTGCTATTATTAGCTATATTTGCAGCTCTGTATATTAATACGAGCTCTACTGAAGGGGTAAAAATTATAAAATGATTCTCTCTTTCATGTTTCAAAGCAAAACAACATAAAACTTACAGAATCTCGAGGAAAGTATAATCAACCCAACGCCCGACATGTTGCTGACCCAGGTTAGGAAGACCAAAAGTGAGTAATAGTAACTGGGCACTTGATTATTATTGTATTAAGCATTGGCACTTCCCTTCAGACGGTTGGTTTTGCGCCGGAGTGTACTGCCCCAAGAAGAACACAGCGTCCTGCAAGACGACTAGTATCCTGAAACCAACTGAGAAGATTGAGCATGATCTGGTTGTTTTATGCCTGAATGCCACAAATTACCCCTTTTGCGGAATAACTCGGAGCTCAAGGGTAGTAGTTCAGGAGATAGTGGAATTGGGCGATGATGGAAATATGGAGTATGTTTCGAAAGAAAGAATTACCACACGAGAGGGAATCTCTATTCCATACTGTCCAATAAAGAGCAAAACCGTTATTGGTTAATTTCAAACTTTTATGAATCGTACTTAAAATCATTTTAAGTTTTATGTATTGAATTCTACAAAAATAAATATATATTTGTGAGCTACACTTAAATACGGTTGTATATATATTCTAGAAGATATATGTTTTTACTTGGCATCTAGTGTTAATATTAAATATGAACCTAAAATAGAACAAATATAGTAACCAAACACAAGAACATTAAGTATTTGGATAAATTCAACTAGGTTGGGTATTTCTGGAGTTGTAAGTCTAAGGACTAGGTTATACACAAAACGATAAACAAAAAACAAAAATTAACTCAATAATTGCACCTTTTTAACATAAACAAAATTCGAGACAAAAGCAAATTAAGTACTTTGGGAAAATTTTGTGAAATTAGGAGATGAGCTTTGCTAATCTAAGAATGTTCCGCCACAGCGCGTAGTTCCTCCATTAGGGATGGTATAGCCGCGGCGCGTCTCTGATCCCTGCCAGCGTTTAGTAGCCTGCTCAACTGATCCACATCTGAGCGACAGGCAGTGATGCCCTCGCTTAATTGGCACAGATTCGGTTGGCAACGCTGGCTACGCTCGATCAGATCCAAAATGAAGCTATTGCGCGGGCGACCCGTCTCACTGGCGGTTTGTTGAACGAGCTGCGGGAAGGAAGATATCGTTTACGTCTAATTTCCAGGATGATTCAACCACAATACCTTCTTGTAGTCATCGATCAGATTGGCTACCTCGTGGGCGGGTTCTGGGGGTGCGATGCAACAGTTGGACTTGCCCGAGTCGGAAGCCTCATAGCTCGCTTTTTCCGCTGCCAGAGTGTGTTCCAGATTCTGCGAATATATTTGTAATTTCCTGATAGATCTCCTGTCAGCGATTGTTTTTACCTTAATTCTTGCTAAAGCTTGCTCGTGCATTCCGCTAATCTCCGCCAGCTTGAGCTTTAGGCCCGGCAGCTCTTCAGCCTTGCGATGGGAAGCCCTTCCATTACGCAGCTCCTTTCGTAGAAGCTTGGCCAGCTGTGGCCAGCATTTAATGTGCCGCAGCTTTCTGCCCGTTTCCATTTCCAACACTTGCGCCAAAGACCGTAGTGCGGTTTCCTCTCGCTCGTCGAGTAACGATTTTACTTGGCATTGCAGCCGCTGAATGCTCATCGAATCCGCAGAATGATTCTCTAGATTCTCCTGGAATGTTTCCTTCAATAGCTGCAACTCCAGCCGATTCTCCTCGTCCTTAGCTAGGCCCAATTGCTGGAGCTGCTGCAGCTCTTCATTTTGACCAGCAAACAATTCATTGAGCTGCTCCAATTCGACGGTTTTGTGTTGGAGCTCTGCACGCATTTCTTGCTCCAATTTTTGAGTGGCTTGCAGCGCCTCTAGGAGCTGCGTCCAATCTGCCTCCATTTCGTTTGTGCTCTTTATCTTGGCATCTTGTTGCTGCAGAAGCTGCTGGAGCAGCGCAACGGTTTGTTTCTTTTGAGCTTTGACATCGGCTAGTTGCTGCTCTAAAGTCTCAATGCGTTGAATTAGAATGGGATCCTCGACATCTGTTTGTGTGGTTTGGTTTTGGCACTGCTTTACCTTCTGTTGGCTAGATTTTTCTATTATTTTAAGCTTCTGCTGCCAGATCTCTGCCTGCTGGCTTTGGTCATGCATTTGGGACTCTGCCGCAGCTAAATCTTTCTTCAACTGTTCGCACTGCTTTGCGTAGAAGCTAAGTTTTCCGATCAATTCGTTTTCCTTCAAGGAACTTTGCTCCTTGAACTTTTCCATATTCTCCTGATCATTTTCCAATTGCCGCTGGGTCTCCTCACACATCGAACGCATTTCATCATATTGGTTCTGAAGCCTGTGCACCTCCTGCTCCAGCTTCTGAAGCGTTTTTTGTGCCTCCAGCAGATTTTCCTTAAGGCTTTCCTTCTCCAGCTGTAAGGAAGCCAAGGAAATGGTTAAATTCTCCACCTGCTCCAATTTGAGGGCGTCACTCTGCCGGAGCTGTTCTTGCTCCAAGAGTTGAGCTTGCAGGGTGAATTCTAGCTGTTCCAATTGACGCTGTTGCTCCTCGTTTTGCTCTTTTAACTGTGACATCATCAGCAATTCCAAACGGAGCTCGTTGAGGGAGTTTTTCAAACCGGCAATCTCACTCGTCTTGTTGTTAATCTCCTCATGAAATTTCAGACTGTAGGAGTGCATCACATCAACGCTGTTTTCCCGGGTTAACTTCTGCTGGTAGTACTGCTTGAGATCGAGGAACTCCTGCTCCTTGAGGGCCAAAAGTTGTTCTTGCGTTTGCAGGGTCTCGTTGAGCTCGGCGATGACCTGACGGAGCTGCTCCCTCTCAGCGTTAACACTGCGCAGGGCGGAGCTCCTCAGTTCCAGCTGGTGCTCCATTTGACTCTTGTCGTCCAGGAGCTGCTTACATCTTCCAGTCATCAGCTTGCTTTCTAGCTCCATACTGGCCAAGGTCTGCTGCAATTGTCCCAGCTTCTCATCGTGCTCTAGGCTGAGTCTCTGTATGTCCTCGAGAAGCATTTTCTTTTGCTTGCGCAGGACATCGATCAGTTGCCGTTGATCCCGAAGACGAGCCTCCTGCTGTTTGGCCTCAAATGATGCGTTCGGGGATGCATCACACTTCAGGGAAGAAGTAGTGGGGGACCTTGGGGACTCCTGTTCCTGCTGCTTCTCTAGCGTGGAACATTTCGCATGCAACCGCATAGACTCCTGCTGCAGTCGTTGGTTTTCCACAAGATACTTACGCTCCTGGGCATACAGGCGCTCCAGGGTTTCCAGGCGACTGTGCTTCTGCGACTTGAGCTCTTGCTTGTACCAGTGCTCGGATTTCAGGAGGCGTTCCACTTCACTACGCGACCTCTGAAGCTCTTGTCTCAGGAAGAATATTGACTGTTTCTGCTCCGGGCTAGGCGTCTGCTCAGGATCACCGCCGCCCTCATCGCTAGCGCAGCTGAAGTGGCCGGAGTCATCTGCCAACGCAGCAGCCTCCACCTCGCAGTCCGCATCCATTGCCGAGCTGTGCGAAGAATTTTATTTGTAGGAGGGTGGGTTCAAGAACGAGTTTTGTGGGCGGATGCAAATCACGAAAGTGGCGTTACCTTTCTAATTTAGCCTTCAACAGCAATTTGGGACCTCTGATTAAGAGCTACTATTCACACACACAAGCAACTAACGGGCTTTTAATAACGGAAAAACTACATTTTAAGCGAAATAAACAAAACATGCAGAAAACTTTTTCGGGAACAGCTGATTGGGACAGCAGTATGACCTTATTGTGGAGTGGCGAAAAAGAAGCAATAAGAAAAATACCAACTACAATTATTCAAGTATCGAAAACATTAGTGACGAAAGCTTTGAACACATTGAAGGAGTCATTTCCGACCCTATAAATCACATATGTATATTCTTGATCAGAATCAAAAGCCGAGTCGATCTAGCTATGTCCGGTCAAAAAACAAATTTTCAAAAATTTATTAAAATTTCAAAATTTGATTTTTAAAATTGTCAAAATTTGAAAAAAATTAATATTTTAAATTTGAAAACTGATGCATATTTATTAATCTGATAAAAACTAACACAGAAAACTTTCGGCTTCGAAATTAATCAATTTTTTATTTTAAAAACTTTGATTTACCCCAAAAAATAGTATATAAAAATAACGCTTATATTTATATATATATATATATTAATAATACACATAATTATTTAATAACTTTCGACTGATTAGTTACCACAGAGTACCCCCAATATCTTTCAGTATTTAAACTCTGATCAGCTTTTTAAGCGCTGGTCATACTAGGCTCGAAAAACCATCACAAAAACATGAAAACTTAGCCATCCGAAATTCAACAAAAAGCGACTTTTCTACACCTCGTCAACCCCAAATCGCGTTCATACTCGTAAAGTAAGATGCTCCACAAAGTCTACGGTGCCTAGCGAGGATCAGAGTGCGTGCAGCATGTGAGAACGACCCGCTGGTCGATTCGTCGAATTGCGTCGTGTTACAAAACTTTGGCCCTGGCCAAATCGCCAACAACAACTCGGTCATGATGGCCAGTGCGGCGGATGACTCGGCAGACGTGAGTCAGGAGGAGGAGAAAGAGTCCTTTGTCATCTACCACGACGGCCGGGCACTGCAGCTCCACTGGCGCGGTGTGCCACCTCTGACGCGAGCGCCCGCATCTCGCATATGCAGCATTGGCGACGTGCTGCTCCTGCTGACCACCGACCACGCCCTGTACTCCGCTAAGCTGCAGCCGAACCGCATCTTCCTCGACCTCCAGCTATTGCGCACGGACGTGGTGGATGTGGACTTCTGCTCTGGCAGCCAGGAGCTGTTCGTGGTGCTCAGCAATGGATCTGTGCAGCGCCAGCTTATCACAGCATCAGGCAGGGATATCCATCATCCGCATGCCTGGCAAACGCTCAGCTTCGATCCACTGGAGCTGCTGGCCGAGGGAGTTCGCATTCATCGCGTTTGCTGCTCCGCCCAGGGCGTGGTCTTTGTCGGTGCCGGTGGCGAAACCTACGTAATGGGCACCTGCGGCGAGGTCTTTAATACGGAGCAGCAGCCGCGCCACATGCGTCTCTACGAAGAGGGCAAGGAACTACTCGATCTGGCCGCCGGAAACGAGCACTTTGTGATGTTGGTAGCGCCCTACAACCTAGCGGACGATGTGCTCCAGCTGCAGGTGGCCAATCCCCGAGATGAGCCCGAGGACGACCGGGCCTCCGTGAAATCGCTGAGCAGTAGAAACTCGGAGCGCAGCTTTGCGGCGAACACGCGGCATCTTTTACACCAGGGATACGCCCTGCTCCACACCCAGCTCTTCACGTTTGGCGCTTCGAATAATGGTCTGTTGGGAACCGGAGACCACATCCGACGGGCGAATGTAATGCGAGTTCAGAAGCTGGACAGCATGGGCGTGTGCAGCATAGCTGCTGGACTGGAGCATACGGTTTCCCGCACTCTGGACGGAAGGCTCTACCACTGGGGTCTGAACAGTCACTCACAGCTGGGTGAAGACCTGAGCTCGCCCATGGAAATTACCATTGCGGAGAACGCGGCCTGCCTGCCCATGGAGCAGAAGACAGCGCTAGAGGCTACTTGCGGGGACTACCACACGTTGCTGCTGAATGCCTCCGGTCAGATACAATCGCTTCAGCCGCCGCCGCCAATGCGTCATCTGCAGCAGTCCAGCACGTATGCCCAAACCCTACTCCAACTGCAGCTGGGAGCGGCATGGCCGCGACAGTTGCGACTACTTATGTGCTCCGGCGGATTTACGCTGCAGAATCAGCGACAGTTCCAGCGGCAGTACCACTACTACCTGAGCCACCTGCAGTCGCAACTGCAACTGCTGCTCAAGCACCGCCAGGCGGTCCAGACCCTGGAGATCTGGCAACGGCAGTCGGCGTTGGAGACGCTCAGTGCCCTCGGACCGCTGCTGGTTAGTTGGGAACGGATGCTGTGCCTGCTAGTGGCCACTCTGCACTCCCTGGAGGGATTCTACCGAGCCGACTTTGTGCAGCCGGCGGATCTGCTCTTTATCTGCCACCACAAGGAGTACATAGAGCTCTTCGATGGCTATACCAAGGCCTATTGCGATGTCTTCTCGGTAAACGGCTTTGGAGACGCGGTTGCGGCCATCGCTGGACTCAATAGCCCGCTGGCCGAGCTTAACGAGGAGAGCTATGTGACGCGCCTGTTCCAACAACCATTCAGTATCTACCAGCTTTTTGTCCAGTTCATGGAGTTGCTGGTAAGGACGCAGCCGGAATACGGAGAGCATCGGGTGGCCTGGACGGAGTTTGCGAGGCACAGCTGCATCAGTCAAGAACTGGCCGTGAATACCAGGGATTTCTGGAGCAGCAATGATCGGAATCCCCGAATCGTTCAGTTCCGAAGACGCCAGCGAAGGGTGATCCTAACGTCAGCCTTGGTGCCCCTGAAGCTGGTCTCCACTGGGATCAGCATATCCAGCAACAGCTTCATCCTTTTCTCCGACTTTCTGTGCCAAGTGGGCGGCAACTCACTGTACTCGTATCCCTTGACAACCTTGTGGGTGTGGACGGAGGGCGACCTGTGCCTTAGGCTGACCACGCCCGAGAAAAGCTTTCTGGTGGCCACTCGTACTCAGGAGATGCGCAAGGTATGGCTGGACCAGCTGCAGTCTAGCATCGTGGCTGCTTTGGGCAGGCCGATGGGGAGTCCAGTGCCCAGTGCCCGTTCCACGGGTTACGAATTCAGCCGGGAGCATCCAAAGTTCTCGCGGGTGAAGGCGTGTGGAACCTGGAGGAAGGGCGTAATGCACGGGAACTGCTACTTGGAATACCCCGATGGGAGTGTTTACTGCGGGGAGCTGAACCACGGGGTCATTGAAGGTGAGTTCTTTATCCCTTGTGAATTATCTCCTTACTACTGATCGCTTTCAATCTGCAGGCTATGGCAAGATGGTGATTCCCTCAACGGGTCTGTACGTGGGTCACTTTAAGGGCGGCCGCTTTCACGGCCATGGTGTCTACGAAATGCATTGCAAGGATGCGCCCGAGAGCGAGATATACGAGGGGAACTTCTGCGAGGGCCTGTTCCACGGCCACGGAATGATGCGAAACAACCGATACATCTACGTGGGCGAGTACCAGGCTAATGTCCGCTGCGGCTACGGCGTGCTAGAGGATCTGATGAACGGCGATAAGTATATGGGCATGTTTGCAGACAATAAACGGGCGGGTATCGGCAGCTGCATAACCAACCGCGGCGACTACTTCGAGGGAAACTTCGCCGGCGATGATTTACTGGGCAATGGAGTGGCTGTGTTCGAGAACGACTACTACTACGAAGGAGAACTAACCTTGCACGGCCCAAATGGGCGGGGAGAATACTATATGCCCTGCGGAGAAGCGGGCAACGTAAGTGTCTCGATGGCAGGCAACGGGGACTCAGACGACACTTGCGAACTGATCGGAAACAAGATGTTTGGACAGCTTAGCGGCAGCTGGGAGACCGTACGCATCCAGGCCGGCGAACTGGTCCTGAATAGGCGCTTTCCAAAGTACCCAAGGTAAGTCTATAGCTTCTCTGAGACATATTTTCAAGGCTGGTTCAACATTTTTCCTTTATTCTAGCTCTTTGGGCCGCCAGGTGGTGGATCACAATCGGAAGTGGCGTTCGCTATTCAACAACTTTGAGTCGGACCTGGCGAACTGCACGGCCAGCAGCAATCCTGCTTGTGCAGGCACCCTAAGGAAGTCCTCGAAACCCACGCTTAGCACAGCACAACTCTGGAACTGCATTGCCGTGTACATGAGCAAGCAGAGGGCTAGGGAAGGTGCCAAGCCAGGAAACTACTTCAACAACATTCTGCTCAGCCTGCCGCTGCCGCAGAAGGAATCTTCGCCCTTAGCCAAGGCGCGGTCCACAACGAACGCCCTAAGCAAGCTGCAAACGGAGGCTGCTTCGGCTCTTGACTTTCTGGGATTTCCACCGCGCCGCATTCATTCTCAGGAAACGCTCAACAGCAAGCCAGGAGGACTCCAGCGGGCCGATAGCTTGCTCTCAATGGGACACAACTCTTCGCGGGATTTGGACTCGAGTAGTCTGGCCAGCTTCCAGCTCGACCAGAGCCTCCTCAACAGCACCTTCAATGGCGACGAGTCGAGTACGTTAAACGAGAGCTTCGCTGGCCTGAGTCACAACAACAACAACAACGGCATATCGAAGCAGAAGAACAGCAGTGATTGCTCTATCACCTCGACTGCATCGACGACTAGTGCTATGCTGGATCAGGTGCCCAGCTTTGGCATGGCCACCACGCTGACGGATCAGGACTTGGCCTCAATACGACTGTACCTGGAGCAGGCCTTCAAGGATCGTCATCATCCGCTGTACGCGCTGAACGAGCGCATTGCTAATTGTTTCCACTACTCCTATGGTTATTGGAAGGTCAAGCCCACACCAATCTTGGCCAAACAGGCGATGCGGGAATGGGAGTCCATATCTAGACGCATTTACCGATTTGTGCGCAAGATGTTTCCCGCCTTGCCGGAGGACTACTGCCACATGGAGGGCAGCAGGGAGGTGATATCGCACATCACGCTGCTTTATCCGCTTGTACTCTCGGAGGGCATATACTCCACACTCTTTGTGTTGTACGCGAACAAGTATAGTCGCAAGGACGAAATGTACCGCCAGAATCTGAACCATGCCGAGAAACTAAAGGACCAAGAACTCGTTGAAATAATGGGCCATGAGAGGTATTAACTGATACTGATTTGTTACTCGGTAACAAATTGTACATAAATTGCGTTTCTTTACAGTTTTCTCCAGACCGTGATGCTGGATCCAAAGTTTGAGGAGTCCGTGCAGACGTTGAAGCAACTGCAGGAGAAGTTTAGTCCCCAGGACATGTTGACTGTGATACAGCGCAGCACGCAGCTGCTGACCGAGGCCTATGAGCATGCCATGTCGGGTGAGTTTTTATTCATTACCGAAATCAAAGAGTTGGCTCTATTTTATCCATAACTCACAGCCAATGCCGCCCAGTTGAATGCGGATAACATGATTCCGCTCACCATGCTCACGATGCTGCGTGCTGCGGTGCCCCACTTGGGTGCGGAGTTGGCCCTGCTAGACGATCTGACGGGCCCCAATTTTCAGGCCGAGATGAATGGCATGGCGGGTTATTGCTACACCACCTTAAAGGCAGCCTACGAATTCGTTACCTTGCGAGCTCTGCAAAAGAATCCCTGAATCAACCTGCTGTAATATGTATTTCCCCCTGTTTTTTGTGTACTTGTTAAAAAGAGTGATTGAATCGGTTGCTCAAAGTTCGGCTATCATTCTAATCTACACAGACACCGTTGCTAAAGGTGTCTAGTAAGGCCTGAATGGAGCAACAATCGTAGGAATAATCTAGAGTGAGAGTACTCCGTTGGCAATGTAAGGCTAAGAGAAGTGATCTTTGAAATCGTATATAAATTTGTATATACTTCAGCGACGAAACTCCCTCATAGGCTAGCGAGTCACGATTCTGTACAGAAGCAAATAGTGAATGTGTATCTATATCTTTATGTATCCGAATGTATCTGTTTTATATATTCTAAGGCAACAACACATTAACATTCCGATTATTCACCAAACCAAATAAATTATCTTCTGCATAAACTGACGCGAATTCGGCTATCAATTATTTTAAGGCCTCCGAAATAGGTTTTATGTCCTTGTCCGTTGGGAATAGACTTTTTCCCAAATGCGATGTAAAATTTTTCAGGTCCAGCTTGTATATGATGTACTTTTCGGGGAAAGTTGTGGTCTCCTCATAGTTGTACACCAGGACAACGGGATCGTTTTGCCTTGCGATCTTGCGCTTAATCAAGAAGGCCAATGCGTAGGTGGCCCTCATCAAAATGTCCCTTTTGTACTCGACAGTTTGCTTGGTGAAGAAGGGCAGCATCGTGACGTTGTAGTAGATGGTCACATAGTCTTCGGCGGAGCGCATAGGGCTGACAAAGATGATCGGTGCCTGGGGCCGGAAGTGGGCGACCTTCTGCACCATCCTTGTGGTTACACCAATCACCACGATGGCGACCGCTTGCACCTCCAGGGAGGCGATGACAGCCGACCGCGCCAGGCTATCCGCACCCGTATGGGAGCGATCACAGTACGGAGCCTTGGCCAGCGCCGTGGGGCCGATCTGCTGGAAGATGGCGTTCTGCAGGAAACGGAAGTAGTGGTTTTCTTTAGGCGGAGGGCAGTAAACCATGTACTTGTCCGGATAGTAGAATGCATAGTAATAGTGAGCCGGATCTACGCGTAGCTTTTGCTCGTCCAATAGCCGCGGATCGAAGATGATCGGCTTTTGCGAATCGTAAGCCAGCTGCATAAAGCACTCGGCATCGGGACAAAGGTGCATGATGTCCGGAACGATTGTCGGTGGGGCTAGCTCCACCAGGAAGCCATCGTACCGTTTGGCGGCCCAGTTGAGTTCGCCGTCGCAGCCCTGGATCTCGTTAAGGAGCACCCTGGCGTACAGTCGCATGCCGTCGCAGTGCATGACCTCCATCGATTCCTCCAGATCGTCCAGGTACTCCGGAGTGCCCACAATATGAGAGATGACCACATTTAGTCCCACCTCGCGGGCAAAGGTCAAATCCTCGAGCTCCTCGTACGAGACCTGGAACCGATTGCATCTGGCCGGAAACAGGACAGGCATATAATCGTAGAGCGCTCCACCCTTGGCCACACAACATTTGAGTTCGTCCATTTCGCTACTGCGTACCATCAGCTGGATTTCTTCACCAATCAGGATAAAGTCATAGGGCCGCACATCGACGAGGAGGAAGCGAGCGTTAACATAAATAGTCTCCTCAGTGCACCGGTCCGAGAAGTTACGATCCACCGTCAGGATGACCTCGGTACCCTTTACCAGGTTCACGAAGCACTCACCATTATTGAGAGCTGCGGGACTCAAGCTGCCGGTGTATTGGTGGCGCGGCGAGAGCTTCGCTATGATGGAGGACACCACCGGGAAGCCGAACTCCTTCGACACACTGATCTCAGCCTCGCGCAACTTGACGATCAGGCTCTGGTTGCCGTGCTGGGTGCCCTTGGCGAGATTTATTAGGAAGCAGCGGACACCGTTCACTGAAATTGTGGAAAATAGTCAACTTCAATAAGGGTGTATACTGAAAATAAAAAGACCATTCTATGACTAGCCCGTAGATTGCTTTACTCACGTAGATAATTTTGGAGTCCCTGGCCACAGGCTACATTCACGGACAGCTCGATGCATTTGCGGTTCTCGTTGGGATCTGTGGCCAGCGGCGTGGTCAGGATCTCAAATCCACTAAAGTAGTTCTGCCAGCGATCTTCCTCGAAGGGCAACATACACAGGTCCTCACTCATCTCCTCATTACCCATGTCCTCAACTGTATCGTCTCCACTAGACTTTACGGAGAACTTGGAGTGCATAACCCAGACGTCACTATCGTTGCCACCGATGCTACCCTCATCGTCGAAGCCAAACAATTTGTAGAAGGTCTGGCGGCGCTGGATGCTGGCCAATTGAGTCTTGGCCCGCTGAAGCTTATCCACATCCACGGATATGATCCGAAACTTTAAGAACATGTCGTCCATGATTGACGTTAGAGCTGGAACATTCGATCGTCCACTATCATCATGGTCAGTCATTGTGGAAAATTTGTTTGTCAATTTATAAACGAAAGTGTGTATGTTAAATTTGTTCGGTTTTTAGAGGTCTTACAGATTTAGAAAGGATGAGTTGATTGTTCCTAAAGATGACTCATATAATCGTAATAGTTCCATTGAATACAATCTATAGAAACTATACCCCCAAGAGAGGTATATCTATCGTTAAGTTATTGAAACTCAAGATTATTACATTTTGAGGGAATTCACATGAAACTTAAGCGGAAGCTTTCAACTTTAGCGGTAATTGAACAATTATTTCTGTGCCATTAGCCACGCGTACGTGCAACTATAAAATTACATAATGCTCCTCAGCTGCAGTTATCCGCATTAAAGTCCCAACCAAATCGGAATTCGAACTCAAATCCGTCTCGGATTGGACCCCTTCCGAACCCGGGAGTTTTGTTTATAGTTTTCCCTGCCCTTTTGCCACCCATGCATTTCCCATTTCCCATACTCATCACACTCTCCCCTTTGAATTCTCCAGTGATAAAAAGAAACCGCAATTGGAGGCGCAGGTAAGTTTGGGTCTTGGTAGCTGCTCCTGCTGCTGTTTCCAATTTTTGTTTATTTCCGTAATTTATTTGCCCGTCTTGCCTGAAGGCGAAAATGTTAAATTTAGCATCGAGCGTCAAGTGAAATGTTTACAATGTGAGAGAAAGTTAAATGGAAGAGTGGGTGGGGCCGGAAAGTAGGGAGCCACGGACCCAAACTAAGCGTTTTAGAATCTTTTTGGAATCTTGTTTCCGCGGCACTTGAGGCCCCGAGGAAAAAAAAAGGGAAAACATAAACATCCAGGAATGTTTAGAGAATAAAAATGTAGCTCTCCTTGTGTATTTTCCCCCCTTTGTTGTTTATTTTTCGCCCCGCCGCCAACTGACAGATACACCGGCTGACTGAGACTGAGGCTGAGGCCCGAACCGGGGTCTGCCCTGGCCTGGAGGACTGGGTGTGGCCGCGTCCATGTTTAGACTAAGCAACCGATCATCATCGGACTGCGGAAAGTGTAGAATTCTTCCCGCTCGACTGCGAAAATCGCTTGAACTTTGACGCCGAACTGCACTCATCGATTCGTTCGTTCGCTTTTCCCCCATTTTTTTCCGTTTTTAGACACGGATTTTTCTATGCCAGGCGGAGTGGGTGGATGTTGGGGTATGGGTGTGGGTGTGGGTGTGGGGCTGGAGTGGGTGGCGGATGGCGGGGCTGCCCATCTGCTGCCATTGAGCAACATAAATTGCCCGGCTCCTTGGCTCTGCTCTGCTCTGCTCGGTTCGGTTCGGTTCCTCGGATCGCTCCGATAGCTGTTCCTCTGCACTTGAGAGCAGCCGCCCAGCATCAGCAATCTCTCGCGCCCTCTCTTTCCACTTTCCTGCCAGCCATCTCTTTCCTTCGCCCTGCTGCCATCCCGCTCGCTCGCCCATTTTCATTTCGTGAATAGAATTTTCTAAATGTCTTTGAGTTTTCAAAATTTTGGAGCGTAGGTGCAGTGCGTCGCGAAGCGTCAGCGTGTACGGTTCGTTTTTAAGGAAAATCCACCAAAAACGTTCGGTTAATTAAGAAGAAAATTAAAGGAAGGAATACACCTGAACAATAACAAGGATATTAAATCAAAAAAATAATTCGAAGAAATCGTTTTGTATTTGTGCGACTGCGAGAGGAGTTCTGACAACAGGAAGAGGATCCTGTTCGAACGACTTCCTGCGGAAGTGGGCGTTTTTCAGCCACTGTTGCCAAGTCCTCATATACACCAGCACCAGCACCACACCCACATACAGACAGCACACCACACACAGTGGCGATAATTTTTCATCTTTCCAATATCCCACTCGACTGGCAAAATATTCGCTTCGGCCGTTTGGCTAAAAATATTTAAAAATCCAAAAATCCACTCGCGTCGCTGGCTTGGCCTGGCCTGGCGGCTGGCCGCTTCAACCTACTACGGCCGGCCGCCTGTTTTTCATAATTTTCAGTTGAGTTTTATTTATTTATCCTATACATACTCGCACGTCCGCAGTATTGCCTTCTTTTCTCTTTTTGTTATTTTGTGACTGTCGAAAGTTTTGCGCTTTCTGCGCTGCTCATTTCATTTGGCATGTCGTCGTTTTTGTTTATTTCATGCCGCCCCCTCAAGATTTTCCCCCTTCCGTCCGGCTTTCCACCCTTGGCCGTGCAGTTTTCCTGCCGCAACATCTAGCAGACTTTTCACGGCTTTTGTCTCCATGATGCAGATCCTAATTGCCCCAGCCCCGTGAAACAAATCACAACTTAATGGGCAGACGCCATCTCGGCGGTGGTTTACAACTTCCTTGGCCAGATTTCCGAATAGAAATATATATATGGTAGAGTGAACATATATATATAGGTATATATATATGGTAGTTGGCATCGGAAGACAGCTGTGTGCATTGGCAGATGCCATCAGCATCATCATGATCATCGTCCATTGCGTATGTGGGGGAAGTCCATAAAAAAAAGAAACCAAACCAGCACACAGTTATAAAAATAAAACTATTTTCGTATGGCCCGTGCGCATATAGACGCTCGATCATTAGACATTCGAATCGGGATCGGAGGCCCCAGTCAGCGCAGCCTCTTGGCACAGTTTTCCAGAGAGCACACAGATCGGTCCATAAATCAATCGAACCAAATTAAATTAATTCAATATCTAAACAAGCGAAAACACAAGAAGCAATCTCATCATCTCATCACGGTGCCATGTGTGCGGATGGCTATATCTCGCCCATTGAGTATAGAGTATATATACAGTGTAACGTCTATATAAATTCTAGTCGATTTGTCTTTTTCCGCTTACTGGCGTTTTATTCAAGCAACGACAGGAAAGGGAAAAAGGCGTATTTACTATGAGTTTGTCCATCAATCTATACTATATTCCATGACATATATACAGGTGAGTATATAGCAGCTATAGGATGATGCATCTTTGCGTAGGATATACATTTTTTATCTGGCTAATCAAAGTCAACGGCTTCAGCGATGCAGGCAACTGATTTGGCGGCTCATTTGCCATCATTATCTTCAAAAATATTCCCGCGATCCGACCAGAATAGTCTAATTAAGAATTGAGATGGATTCTTTAATGTTTTTAACATCATTTTTTGATGAATGTGGTAGTAAAAATCAAAACGACATGGTTTTATAATTCACAAAACAGTGGCCAACACCCAATGAGTAATTCCCTAAAATAACAAAAGCTGAAAATATGTGTGTTTGTTCTCGTAAAATCTGAACAATATTCGGAGCTTCTAGTTTCTGAAGAGAATTTACAATAGAATTTACATAAGCGAAGATCGAATTCCTCGTTTTCAGTTATTTGGGTTCGATTTAAATCTTTCGATTGCTCTAAATTTATTCTGCATTTTTGGATTTTCATTTCCGATTAATATGGAATATGGAATTACTTGGCAATGCGAACAAAGAAATATTAATATAAAGAACCAAATTTTGCCAGATTTCCTCCGGCGAGGCAATGGTGAAATTTAACAGCGGCGGCAACAGAACCAATTCAGATCCAAATCGGGGGGCATTCTTCCATATTTCTGTAGCATTTCAAATGAAACGAAAATTAAATGTAAAATTTATTGTTGCATAAACAAAATGCCGAGAAACCGACCGCATCCAAATCGAACGATGCGTATGTGGCACCTTTAAGTATTCCTCGGCCCCTGCCCTCGATCGGTCCCAGCAACCATCCATCCCAGCAGCCCCATCTCCCTTCCCATATGCCCCCAACATCTTCATCTTCATCTTCTCCTGACCGACCCGGCAACTGCTGCTGCTGCTGCCGCTGCTGCTATGTGGAACGCATATAGTATGGAAGGCTGGAGAGGATGGAGATGGATATGGAGGCGGAGGTGGAGGTGGAGAACTTAGTGCTGCCCCATGCCCAATGGCCAAAAATAACATCAATGAGGGCAAGGCGCGGAGACGGACGCCGTGTGTTTGCTTTGTTTATAGTTTTCGTGTAAACAATTGCGAACGGAAAAACCGAATCCCCGGCGTGTTCATGTTCGAGAAAAATCAAATCTGGAAAATGCTCAAAATAATAGGAAACCGAAGCGATTGAAACTGAAATCGAATGGCAGAGCAGGGAGCAATGAGGAGCTCTTTTCTTAGGTATAATCATGATATTCTTTAACAAAAATGTACTAAAAACTATGATTAAAGATTCATCTTAAGAGTAGGCCAAACATCTTAATAAGAACTCCAAGCTTAAATTGCAGTTGTGTTTGATTAACTTTAAGCTATTCTTAAAGTTGCTACAAAAATGATTAAGCATATCTTTAAAGCAGAGATTAATTTACTCAAATAATCACTTAGTCTACCTTAGATTTTGTTCCCTAATTTTTAACAAATTCAGGTCATCTCAGGTACATTCAGACCCTGTTTCCAGATCAAACATAAATTAAGAACGTTGAATTGCAGCCAGGAATTCAGATGTGCAATGGATGGGCTGGGAGATGGCAGATGGGTTTCTGGACGCGGTAAGAAGCTTGCTCTTTAATTAATTCTTAGAACGGGTTTCCAGTAAATGCCTTCGAATCCAATATTGTACATATGGCGTGTATGTAAGTGTCTGGATATTGGCCAATAACCGGTAAACAAGGCGACCAGCAATTCCGATTTCAATTCCATATTATTTTTGGCAATATAAAGAGCTGTCGCCGCTGGCTCAGAGTCAAATCAAAGTCAGCCTTTCAGCCAGAGAGCAGCATCATCATGTTAAAGATTGTAAGTATCGCGGCCTTCCCAAGGATTATCTCATTCCCAAGACATCATCTTGCCAGGTCTTCATCACTTTGGCCATCTGTTTGGTCGTCGTTCTAAGTGCTCCGGTGGAGCAGGTGGATGTTCAGCCACCGGTGGCCATACTGGAGTCCACCCATGAGAAGCACGAAGATGGATCCTACAACTTTTCGTATCTGGGCGAGGATGGCACCCATCGCCATGAGGAGGCTGTGGTCAGGAACCAGGGCACCGACAATGAATACCTCGAGATCAGCGGCTCCTACTCCTACTTCGATGCGAATGGCAAGGAGGTGGTTGTGAATTACAAGGCCGATGACCACGGATTTGTACCCGAGGGCGGGGCCATCCTTCCTCAGATTTCCCTGGCCGCCAAGCAGGTCAGCGAGCAAGTGTCGCAGCCGGATCTGGACTATGAAAAGCCCCCGAAGGTCTAATAAAGAAATAACATTAATGGAATTTTATTATGGGTCTTAATGGTGGATAAAGAATTTATATTTTAGGTGCGGGAAATGACAGCAAGTCCCAAGAGAGCACTCAACATAAATAAATCTCAAGGAAATCGATTTTGATTGACTTATCTGGCTTTCCAGATAGGCGAAGTATTTTTAAGCTCCCCAAGCATATGTTTTATATAAATCACAACTAATTCTGTTGAGCTTTGAGTGGAGAGTGCTTATTCGGGTATTTTTAAAGTATTCTAATTAAGAAAATAAGTTTACAAAGCATGAACATGTTTTAGAATACTTTAGCATAGGTAGGAGCATTTGAATTCATGAAACTGGAAGATTTAAAATCAATGGAAAAATGCAAGAAAAACTTACCTATTAATAATATATATATATTTTTTTTTAATTTCATACAAAGCCCCATATGTATCTTAAATTTTACTTTCTTCATTTAATGCAGAAACAATTTCAACTACAAAATAATAGCTAGAGGACCGCCTGCTCGGCCATCCTGGGGTTCGTATAAGTTAACAGTGCGCTGAACAAATTGAAAATACAAAAATACAACTAAGAGGACAAAGAGGGCGGGGAAATCAGGATCAGGATTGGGCAGGGGGCATTATTATAATACATAAAAGCTGAGATATTAAATTAAAAACAATGCAATAAATAAGAATGGGTTCGTGATCACTTCTTGACCGGCGTGGGTGGTGGCGATCGATAGGAGTTGACCAGACCGCCACCCGAATTGGGTTTGCGGGTCTTCAGACGATTCTGGAGCGTCTGGAGCAGTCCGGCGAGCACATCGTGGTTAGGTATCTTCTTGGCAAAGAGCAGGCGCTTCACAGAATCATCGTAGGTGAGCAGAGCCACCATATTCTGGAGCAGGAAGCACTGGCAGTACTCCAGCAGTCGATTGGCATTGTAGACCTGGAAAAACAGAGACCATTAGGATACCCTTCTCGAGCATTTAAGATGCCTTGTTATAACCCACCTTGGCATGTATGTACATGGCCACCACATTGTCCACGTCCACCATTTCAGAGCAACGTGCCTCCGTGTACCGAAGCAATCCCTCCAGCTGGAAGAAACTAGCAGCTGCCATCAGCTCGAGGACATCGCCGTGCGCCACATCCAGGGAGCTGCAGCCACCGCTGTAGAGGAACTGCATCACCAGCTGGAAGATGTGGTAGCGGATGTCATTGATCTGGACCGTGGGGGTGGAGCTGGCCTCGCTCAGCTTGGAGCTCAGCATGCTCTGGAAACGAGGCGAAGCTGTGACCAGGACGATCTTGTGTCCATAGAATATTTTCCCTTCGACTCTGTAAAATAATATTTAGAAAATCTAATGTATTTCCTAAAACCATTTAATAATTTGCCACCCACCTAAAGGTCACATCGCTCAGCTCTGGATTGTTGACAAACTTGGGATCGATTCGTGATCCCTGAACGGGCTGCAGAGGTGGCTGCTCCTTGACCGGTGGCAGTGTCTCCCAGCCAAAGCAGGTGGCGAAGATATCGGCCAGGAGCAGGGTGGTGCCCTCGTTCTTGTTCCGGAAAATGTTGAACAGCAGCGGCAGGCACTCGCTGACGAACTGGGCGCTGTAGTCATCGGGACATACTTGCAGGAAGTCCTGCAACAACTGATCTATCACCGCGTCCAGTCGCAGGTCATGAGCTGCCGACAAGGCGTGCATCCAGCAATGAAGGGTCCAGGGCACACCCAGTTTTCGTAGCTCAATTGTGATGTCTGGAGAGGAAAGGGAATATGAGTTGATAATCTTTACTGATTTTACAAGTATTATTATTCCCCCTTTCGACTTATCTGAATTATTTGGCAGACGATAAATCTTATTCAAGCTCAAATATTCAGACTTAAGTTGTAAACAAAGTTATTCCAACGGTTTGTCGCCATATCCGGTTTTTAAGTTATATTTTGCCTAATTTCAAGACGAGCTTAAGCCGATTTAATGAATTAGAAAATCATTAAAAACAGATTGAATCACTTAATCGGTCATTGCATTCTTTTGAAAAGAATTTTAAATAGTCTGTGAGTTTATGTTTTGGTTCAGCGAAGAATTTAAACAATTAGAAAATTTTCGGGACAAATCAATTTTTAAAAAACTCATAACTAAGCAAAAAAAAAGCATTAATTATAATTAGGAAATTAGGAAATTTTAAATAGGTTAACATATCTGCATACTCAGTTTTAAAATTTAAAAAATGCAATTTATTGTCAAATTTTGACAATTTTAATGATGTAACCCCTTATAAAATTTTCAATTTTCGGAAAAATGTCAACAAATTTTTTTTTTGACCGGACATGGCCAGAACGACTGGGCTGTTGATGCTGATCAAGAATATATATGGTTTATAAGGTCGGAAATGCTTTCTTCACCTGATTACAAGCTTCTGACTACAATTATAATACCCAGAAAGGGTATAAAAAGTTTGTAAGATTATAACTTTTTTCAATCACTTCTAATACCAATAAATCTATTAAATAATTTTCTTAAGCATAAATATTAGCAAATTTTATAAAAAGAAACTCACCCAAATGATTATTCTCGGCACTGTGGTACATGGCTTCTTGGAGTCGCTTGATCTGCGTCTTGTTCAACAGCGGCAGCAGATCCTCATTGTTTCCATTGGCACTCACACTGCCGGGCCCACCGGCTCCTCCTCCACCTCCACCTCCACCTCCGCCGGCTCTCACTCCACCCACATCGCCTTCGGCTAGCATCTCCTCCAGCGAGAGCACATCCCTCGTCCCGGGAGAGACGGGATGAGTGAGCAGCTTACGGAGACACGAACGATGTCCATGGGCTGCTGCCACCGAAATGGCACAGAAGCAACCCTTCTGCGCGGATCCAGCGAAGCACAGTGAATCCTTCTGCTGGGTAGACATGAAGGCATTCGCTCCATGGGCCAACAGCAGGGCGACGATTTCCAAATTGCCCGTTCCAGCAGCCAACTGCAGGGGTGTCAGGGTGCATTTCTCCTCGCTGCTCCGAGCACCACCCTCGACCTTGCCGCCTCGCTCCAGGAGAATCCTCAGAGCCACATAGTTGGCCCTGCTGGCAGCGAAGCTCAGCGCTGTCCAGTGCTGGGTATCCGATTGGATTGCCGGATGGCCAGGACTACCGGATGGTGGCACCTCCACATTCGGATCGCAACCGGCGTCCAGGAGTGCGTGCAGAGCCACCTCGTCATTCCGGATGCTTGCAATCATCAGGGCTGTGAGTCCGGCGCTGTTTTGGGTATCGTAGCGGGTTGTGGGTGGCAGCAGCTGGGCGGCCTGGGCTAGGAGCTCCGCTCGACCAGTAAGGAGAAGCTGCGGAACAAAAAGGGGAAATATTAAGTACTTAGATCTTCAACTTCTGCCAAGGTAGTTACGCACCTTAAAGGCTACTCCGATGGTGGCTCGCCTGCCCAGCTCCGAGGTGTCTTCGCCGATACCAATACCGATGTTGCTAACCACCGGCGAGCTACAGCTGCTGCTTCCCGTGCCTGTCCCAGTCGAGCTGGCAGCGGGAGCATTGTTAAAATGCGTCTTCTTGGTGGGCAACTCCTCGTCGTGCGCCACTGGGCGGATGGGACAATCCACGCCGGGCAGGAGCAGGCGTGCAGCCTGCATAATGTCGTCCTTGTCGATCATCAGGGCGCTCCGATGCTCAGCATGGGCGGCAGCCACTCGTAACCACTCGGCAAGCGGCGGCAGCACCACATAGGCACGCTCATAACAAAGCTCCTGGACATGATGGCCCGCCGAGGCAGAGGCACCACCCGCACCCTGAGGTGCAGCCGGTGCCTGGCCAGCATTGCAGCCCGAGGCGGCCAGCAGCTCCGTGTGCTCCAGTTGGGAGCAGCGCATAAAGTAGAAGAGAGCAGCCAGAGCGGATCCAGAGAGGGCGGCAGCCAACTGGAACTCCTGTTGCGTTCGCATCGCCTTCTCCTTGAGCTCCCGCACACTACCCACACAGGTGGCCAGCGAGGAGGCACTGGCCCACCTGGGCAGAGCCAAGGCCCCGCTGGCCACTCGGCCGGCATTTAAGTGGGCGAAGGGCTGCAGCAGACCCCACACGTCGCCGGAACTGGCTATACTCTGATCCAGGGCAGCCGCAGTGCTCCCGTTGCACTGCAGCGCAATCTCCTCCAGAAGATTCTCAATGCCGGCGCACAGGTACACCGCTGCATACTCGTGTATGAACTTGCCCAGTCGGGCATCTGTCATCCAGCGGTAGAAGCGACCCACCGACAGCTGGAGCCCCGCTCGGGCGGACTTGCTCTGCTTGAGGGCACTCTCGCCGGGCACCGCAAACATGGCGGCGGCCCGAAGGCAGGCCTTTGTGCAGGAGTCCGCCAACGAGGAGCTCAGCACCACCCGCAGAGCGCCGGCCACTTCCTGCTTGGAGCAGAGACCTATGCCCGCGGAAAAGCGTTGGATCTCGCGGGCAATCCTCACCAGCGCTCGCTGGAGTAGATAGCCTAAGCGGGACACCGCCTCTATGGCCAGGTGTTCCGCCTGTTGCTGGCAGCGTCCGTTTCGAAGCACTCGCAGGATGCACTGCTGACTCCATGGAGGATGCTGCAACTCCACCAGTCGATTGTGCGAGTCCACCCACACAAACTCATCCGCACTGGTGCTGGTCACCACGGTCTCCAGCGAGGAGTATCTGCCCAGTCGGCGAGCCGGTTCCGAGCTCTCTGATCCGGCACTCAAGCTGCTGTAGGTGCTGCTGCTCGTCTGGGAGCGTAGCGTGAGCATGGCCAGCTTGATGTCCTCCAGACCGGTTCCGCTCCACGGGGCCTTCCCCGCGGGCATAATGCCACGATGCCGCCGCGACCTGGTACTCCGGTTGGTCACTCCAGCCGCAAGCCTATCCTCTGGCAGAGGTCCCAGGGTCATTCCTCCAGCTGGAGAGGAACTGTGACCACCCGTATCCGACATGCTGGCGTGTCCAGAGCTGCGATTCTCATCTGAGGAGCTGTGACACTCCTGAACTCGCTGCAGCGCCCGGAACTGATCGTGCTGGTGCGTCCTGGCCGGCGAGGAGTTCGCCGCTGTGGTGGGTATTCCCAGTGTGGGTCTGTTGGGCGAGACCTGGTTCAAGCTCCCGCTCAGCTGCGGTGGCTGGGACTTCACCGGAGTACTCTGTACGGTCAGGCGTGCCGGACCAGCCACCGCTCGCTGTGGAATCAGGGCCTTCGAGGCGGAGACAGGCGAAGTCAGCTGGCTGCAGGAGCTCACCAGCTGGGACCCGGGGCTGGAGACGATCTTGTGGGGAATGCCCTTGTTGTTATTGGGCTGCTGGGCCAGTTCCTTGAATACTCGCGGTGCTGGCGTGGCCATGGCCACTGCCAGTCCTTTCTGAGGACCTCCGCCATGTGGTGTCTGTGAGTGGGACTGCTGCTGCGACTGCTGTTGTTGTGGAGGGGACTGTAGTTGTAGAGGGGGAGCGGGTGGCAGGCCGGTGATCTGGCTGGGAGCGGGTAGCTGGCTGAAGTTGGGCGGCAGGTTGCCAGTGGGTCTGAAAATATAATATAAATTTAAAATGTAGTAAATATTTCTATTAACCAAAATATGTAGATTTTGATGACCAAAACATCAATGTGTCATTTAGATCATTAATATGTAAAATCTTTATTTAATATTCGATAAGATGTGATCTCTGCCACACCTGTTATCGTTCTTCATTTGTCTAGAAATATCCATTAATATCTGTCAATTAAGAAACTTTTATTTGCATAGCAAAATCATAAATACATATATTTTTTAAAATTTCGCAGCTAAGCTGACCCATTTCTGGGCCCATAAATGATGCAACTCATTAAGATTCCACTAAAGAAGCCCGGCTAAGATAAACAAAGGCTTTGACTAACGGACAGACGGGAGAGATGTCACCTCGCCGCTAATCTTTGTTCACACAAACTTGACAGTCTTCTAGTTAGTCGCGAGCCCAACCCGGACCAGTGACACCTAATTAAAAGCAGACGTAGTTGGGAGACATAAAAAATAATATATATACTAAGGCCATACCAAGTCGGCAGCTTGGTTTATGCAAAATGTGTGTCAAATGCTTCTGAAAACATTGAGAATACTCTACAATTAAAAAGGTATTTAAGCTATTAAATTTGTAAATAAGAGAATGTAAATAGTATCACGAAAATGATAAGATATTTAACTATTTCAAAACTATTAAGAATTTATTATTATTTTTAATCAAGCCCTTCAAATAATCATAAAACCCTTCTGAAACCAAGGGCATAAAACACGCTTAATTTCTTCTTTAGCTAAACATTGCCTTTTGTTTTGGAAAGTGGGTTGATCTTGGTTCTCACAAATCTCGGCACCATCCATGATTCTCATCTTCCAACTGGGCTTGGTTGTCGCAAAATAAAAAGCGATATTAAAAGCCAGTTACGATTTTTCATTTGCATGTGACTAAGTTAGTTGTCCGCAAAATCTCTTCATTCTTTATGATTTTTAGCCATTGTTATCGTTTAGATTTCTGTTCATCTTTTTAACTATATCTATGCTGTAACTTGAGCTGTGATTGACCCAAATTCTTAACTTTGCGATGGCTGAACACATCTTTTATTGTCTTTCCTGACAATATGTCTCTTATATTTTTAATACAGATCTTCTGTTTTGTGCTAAATACGATTTATGCGGGGAATTTTGCATTTCTTTGGAGTTCTGTTATTATGATCTAATTCTGAACTTGAAACTTGATTGGGATTTGGTTATCGAACGAACAGTGACCTTTACCTAAAAGGTTATTAATTTGAAAGCTAGGAATTTCATCTTGGTTTTAATATGTATTTCGGCCTATACAATATATAATTTATTAAGTAATATTATCTCTATCTTTGCATAGTTTTTATTTCATCCATAAACTATAAAAACCACCTAAGTTATTTACATTTTTAAAACATTTAAATTAAGTACAACTGATCCACTTTAAAAATGCTCATTTCACTTGCTTCTTATGTAAATTAGGGCTAAAACTTTTACGATTTTCCTCTCAACATTATGACTTATAAAACCAAACATCATTTCTAATAGGAGACATTAAAATCGATTGATTTTAAATAAGTTTTAACTGCCCTAGAATCTTTCGAGTGTGGGACTTGGGTTAGAGCTCTGTTCCCTCATAATCTTATTTTCACAGAATAGAGATTTGAACTGACTTCTACCCTCCATATTACTTTCAGATATGATTGCTTTCTCATTTTCTCGACTACTCAACATTTGGCATTAATATTGACATCTTCCCAATTGCATTCTCGTCAGATTTAAGTCCCTGTTGAGCCCAAAATCAAAGTTCCTTTCCCTTTTTCCAATTAAAGGCCACCCAATTCTACGCCCAGAAGAAATCCCTTATTGGCCAACTTTCACAATAGAATTGCAGTCGCACAACAAAAATAGAAATGAAAAAAAGAAAAATAACAAATGAAAAATGGTGAGGGAAATCGGGGGGATTCGGAGGTTGTAAATAATGGTAGATGATCCACCAAGTTCCCAGTACCGTTTCGCTGCCCTCCGCCACTCCTGGACGTAGCTCCAGTCGCACGAGTCCGTCTCCGCCTCATCTTGGCCAGGGTCGTCGCTATCGTCGTCATCATTATCGTTGGCATCGCCGGCAACGTCGGCTGCATCGGATTTCGTTGGACCCACGACGGCCAGAGTCGGTTTTGCCACCGTTTCCACCAGGGCACTGGCTCGCCGGTAATTGCCTTCAATTCTGATATTAATTACGCCGTTCTGCACGCTCTCAATGTAGGGCGGCAGTTCGTCATCCGTCGTCCGCAGCTCCACTGCCGCCGCCGCTGACGCCGTCGCCACCATGGTCGTCGTCGGCGTGGTTTCCACCTCTATCTTCTTCATCCCCGCCTCCGCTTCAGTCTTCACCTCCTTTCCCGCCGGGTTAACCTCTTCGTGGGCCTTCAGTTTCTGGGACATCTCCTGCAGCAGCTGTGAGTGCAGTTCTTTGGGAGAGGGCAGCGATGATTGCTGTCCCCGATGGATGGAGTCACCGAAGTATATGACCACCTTATGGTTGGGCTTCCGCCCCGCCCGCGTGGCATCATCCTCCGCCGCCCAATCCGGCAGCTCCTCGATGGGCGTCGGTGATGGAGTCTGTGGAGGACGCGGCACGGGTTGCTGCTGGGCCAGCATCTCGCTGTTCCTCAGCGATTGCGGCTGGAAGTTCTTCAGGGAGATGCCACGCCTGCGCAGGATGAAGTTGTCGTTCAGCATTCTGCTGAGCAGGGAGCTAGCCGCTGGAGTGGGTGCAGGAGCTGGGATTTTGGGGGAGGCCACCTTCTTGCCACTCGGCTTGTAGCCACGCAACTCGCGGCACAGGCTGCAAGTGCAATCTTTGGTGCAATACATGCTGCTGCTGCTGATGCTGCTCTCAGTTTGGCTTTGGTTTCATGGCAGTCCTTAAAGCCTTTTTCCTTATATTTTAGTTGTATAAATTTTAAGATTTCATTTAATACTAAAAAATACTTTAGTATGTATTTTCCAGTTTTTCTTTAGAACAGTTTGAATATCGGTTTCAATTATTTTAATCACAAATGGGATTAGGATTCAAATAGGATAGGCATTTCTCTTTGGTTCACTTTTTAAAGATCACTTCTATAGTAATTTCTTTTTTAAACCACTTTAAATACTATTTATGTTTTATTTCTTAATTATCAAAAGAAGTTATAAAGTAATTTAGTGGCAGTTATATTATTACAAGTATTGCTTGTTTAATTTTCCACTTTCTTGTAAATGAATATATTGCTTTTGATTTTATGTTCACTTTCGAATATATTTCACTTTTTGCTGTTCTAAATTAATTTGCTCTATTTTTTTATTTAATAATATTGATTTCGTTGCTTTATTATGGGTTTTTAGATATTTTCCGAAGCACAGACACCCGCGGATTCTTCATGTACTAGAGCTCTTTCCATTTCACTGTCGCACTTGGTAATAATGGTAATTATGCAAATTATAAATTATCATTGCTCTGATGCTCATCCAGCCGCGGCCGAAGCTCTCGAACTCTTTTTCAAAATTTTCCGAAAAACCGCGCTCACTTCTAGTTTGAACTGAAGCTGAAGTCCGACTGAAACTGAGCTTGGATTTTGAATTCGATTCGAGCCACAGCTGCTGCCTCTGCCTCTGTCTCTGTCGCAGTCGCTGTCTGCGTTGACTTATGCTGCGCTGTTGAGTCATTGCCGATGGATATATCTATACAGCTATGGTCAAAATAGTAGATACATTTGGTATATTATAGTGCCAGGAAACCCCTGTGCTTATTTTAGTTTGTTTTTTATAAGATTAACTTGTACAGATTATGTTTTAGACTCTTAGGACAAGTCTATAGTCTTGAAATCCTTATTATTAAATGAATAATATTTAAGATTGATGCTTTTTCACTAATTATAAGCTAATGGTATATTTCATAAATTTAAATGCTTTCTGGACGTGAAGCGAAACAACCTTCTGAACTTTAATTACATCTTTTGATCGTTATTCTATATTATTCTAGATTTTTTTTAATCTAAAAAAAATATAATATTTTATATTAAAACGAGATATTTTTACTACTTTTATTTCGACCACAAATGTAGATGTTTTTCCTCATTTTCACAGCGCATTTTGGGCCTTATGCTGCGGGGCTTTGGATCCAATGCAAGCCACCTTGCGCGGAGGGTCGGGTCTTTGGCTCTATCTTGGGTAATTTTTCCATTTTCCGTTTTTCTGTTTTCCATTTTCCATTTGTTTCTCAGCCTCTCAGCTGTGTGACCAAAACAATGGAACTGCCACTGCGGTGGAAACAAGACAAGACAGCAGGCTTTTGAGGGCTTACTTCGAGTACCAGTCCGAGTACTGAAGCAGTATCACTGAGTTTTCTTTTTCATTTTCCTCGCCTCACTGTTGTTGTTTTTCTAGCTTCGAGGTGATTTTCAAAAAGTCACTGCGATTGGTAGCAGTGATGCTCAGCGGGGCGAAATAATAAGAGAACGCGTGGAAAATGATCAAATGTTAAGGTTAATCATAAAGGAAATAAGCTTCGAAGAGGAGAAAGATTTTCGCTTTTCTAATAATTGATATAATTATACATTTAACTTAATCCCTGATTAAGAGGAAATACAGATCATAATTGTAGATTTTATTTAATCCCCAGTGAAGGGGAAAGTAATCCGTGGTTGAATTCAAACACTTCCCACTGCAAAACATCTGATTTAAATTGAGTGGAACCAAGAAGAGGCTGCAAAAGTGCAAACAAATCATCACTTTCCCAACATATTTACACAAAGAATTAAAGCTAATTACCAGCTATGAATATTAATAGAGTATCTTGTACAAAAGCAATGCCAATTTCATGATCACACACATTTCCCACCTCCAAAGGCCTCCCAGCCAGCCGGCTCCGAAGACGTGACTAGGCACCATCTCTGGTGGTGGCTGGCCTGGCTCTGGATTTAATTATGCATAACTGTTCCGCGGGGCCAAGGGAGCGGATCCAGAGGAGCACCACCCAGCGCACGAAGGTTATACAATCTTGACACTTATCAGATCGTTTTGCCAGCTTCCTTCCCGTGCCTTCCCTAGCTTCAGTCCAGGTCCCCTTCCCAGTCTCGGTTCCAGACCCAGACCCGGATGGTAAGATTCTCGGCCAGACAGAGCCAAGCAGCTTCAGTGGTTCTGAGCATGGGCAGACGTGCGTAGGCCCGCAGATACATCTACAAGATACATCTCATGTGTGGAGCAAATAAATTGCCGAGCGTAACCTGCTTCTAATGATTTATACAAGCAGCTCCGGCGCTGACATAACGGTTTCTTTGGGGTTAGCCTTTTGTTTCTCCCGATATATACACATATATATAAAGCCAGGCCAGGCCAGGCCACATCCATAAACCCAACCCCATCCAGAGATTCGGCCACCGCCAGAAGCTTCTCTTTTGTGGATGAAGAATGGTAAAGTGGTGGATATGGGAGCGGTCCGAGACCACAAAAAAACCCAACCATAATCCCATCCACAACCACTGACATACGCACACAAAGCAATTGCAATTAGAAAGCCACGATCCAGATACCCAAATTCCCGACGAAACGAATAAAGAAAGATCGGGCATTGGAACGCCCACGTAATACGGAAAACTCGGTGCCGCTCTATCTACTCGGACTCGTATGCGACTACTATAGTCATATCGGCGGACCGTCCGATTATACAATAACTTTCCTCTAAGCCAGCTGGATTATTAAAAAAATTACACTCTAAGCAATTTTCGCATTAAAAAGTTTAATTTACGGAAAAGTAATGACAGGCCATAAATATGCTTACACCCATTAGGCCCCAGCACAATGTATACTCCGGCACTCGACTCGCGGGAGACCTCCCAAAAATTAAAAGAAACTAAACAGAAGCCCACAAAACACAGAAACTCAATGTACACCAAAAGGTTTAATGTAATATTCGCGTGTTTATAAAACAACTCGGCCGCAAAAGACGAGAAAAAAGCTGCCGAAATAGCTGGAAAAACTGGACAAAGGCGGTAAATGCAACTCACCAGAAAGTAAAGAGCAGATATATGGCCGTTCCGAACCTTTTGGGAGATATATACACAAATATGTATGTGCCATATGGTTATGTGTGTCAACGGACTAATGAGGTTTGCCAGCATGCCTTAATGTTCCGACTTTTTGGGTACTTTCGTTTTTCAAGCCTGACAGTATTTAGACAGGAAATGGTATTCGGCTTCTTCGGCTCTGCCTGTCGATGGCCGATCATTAGAACCAGGTCTTCAAGCCAAATCATTAATAATCTTTACCTGGCTGAAATATATCAGCAAATTATGAAATGGAAATGGAGGCAAGTCGAGGCAAGGTTAAGCCCACAAAGACTCAGCCCCAAGGCGAGCTGAGATACTTAAGCCGTTTAAGTAACTTGGTGGCTTCTACGAATTTTCATTTCATTTATTTTCCCTTTTTTTCTAATTTTTCTCCCGTGAAAGATTTATCAAAAATATGTGATTGACATGGATTGCTCAAGCCTGACTTCTTTTGGGCTGTGTCATGTTTTTTGCTGTGGGAACATTTGGAAAATTTTATTATGAAATTTGAACAGGAAAGTTATTTGTAGAGGGTTTTCAAAGATTTCTTCATTTATATTAGTTAAACATTCAATAACTCTCACAATTCTATATTTAACTTAATGTAATTACACTTTGAAGCTTCCTTTGCGTTTCAGTTCCGTATGCTCATCTTTTAGGTGAGATTCCCATATAAAGTACAGGTCAGGATAATGCCAGCTTACTCCCTCTGGAATTACAAATTCTATCCCCATTGAGTTAATGACAATCTCGGTTAGTTTACACTCCCCACCTGTGTGTGCCTTGGAAATGATATGCTCGGACCGACGGCAGTGGTATATCCCGACACCATCAGTGACACGGCAATTGGCTGTAACTGTTATGAAACCCCAAGCCAACATCTGACAAATTGCTACCTAGTGCTCTCTCTCGTAGTGCTTTTGGCCCTATCGTATCATCACATCTTGCTGATTAGAGTTTAATATGCTGCGACTGACTACTGTGAGGCGTCCTCCGTCTGACTAGGTTTCCGCATTCAACCACATCCCATCGCCAATTGGAGAGGTCTCGAGATGATGATAATGAAGCAGCAGCCCCAGAGATGGAGGAGGAGATGAAGATGGCGATGAAGATGCTGATGCTGATGAAGATGAAGACGATGCCGTTGAGGAGAGCGACTGACTTTGCTTCCGTTTGTAGACGGCACCTTCCTCGTTGACGGCAACACTTCCACGACTTAATTAGTCGCCTGTCTATCCAGATCTATCAGCAGGCTGCTGCTGCTATATATCTGGGCAACAGATGCTAACCCCGAAAATCTCCCACACTTTCCCGCCTTGGATTTTCTCCGGGTTTTTGGCGGTTTCTGGACGATTCTGTTTTGATGGCGACTAGTTCGTTAAGTATAGTTAAGCTAAGTATATATAAGTGCACTTTTTGACAAACACCGAAAAGTATCTCACAGATACGTGCTCCATAGCCGTGGCGGCGAAGAAAGTCACGGCGTAGGTAACAAAAAAAAAAAAAGGTAACAACGTTTTCACCTGCCCCACGTCGCCGCATTATTTCTTGTGCCCGCTTTAATGCTGCGTTCGAAATTACACCGAAGATGCTCCGATAGAGATGGCATGCAGGGTTTGTTGCCCTCGCCGAAAGAGACAGAGAGATGGGTAGTTGGAGCCCTCCTCCTGGCCATTGTCATTGACTTTGTTAGCTACAAATTGTTGGGACTGGGACTGGGGCCGGGGTTGGCATCTGCCACTGGCAATTGTGGCGAATTTTTCGTAAATTTTTCCTATTTCAGTT